TAAAATTTGTAAATGTTCTTGGTGGTTATTGCCTAATTATCGTTATTATGTTTGTGAATGAATATCTCAATTTTATAATGAAAGCGATATCAAAAAGTATTATTGTTCGTGTGATATGCTGCGGAGCAGCACATGGGAGTGATTTTTCATCGTATGATGATTTCTGCGGTGATAAACCTTCGATTCCGTCCGTGACAAAATCCAAATTCCGTGACTAAAATTTAAAAATTCTGCATTAGTTATACATTATAAATTATGGATTCTGCGTTATTCTGCGACCAATTTTGCAATTTATTCTTCGGATTATTATGGATACCAAACAAAATTTTAGTTCGACCACGCTCGTATTATAGGTTCTTTTATTTTCTACGCCGGAACTTTTCCAGAATTATACTTAACAATAAAAAATTATAGGTTCTGCCATAAATCCCTACTTTTAGTGATATTTCTGTATTTTTTATCTCTACTTTCTGCAACAATTCCGCGCTATCCTTGACATATTCTGCGGTATTCTGTGAAACGCAGAAAATTACCGTACCTGCGTATGACCAATATCTTATGATTATTGATTATTCACGTAATCTCTACGTAAACCAAAGACATAATTATAAATGCATATTGAATAATTGATGATGCAATTCATTAATAAAACAAGTTATACTGTAATTAAAAGACTGACTGCCACGTAACGCTAGTGTTAGCAAGCAGTAACGGTAATAAATAAATGTCCAATAAAAGCTAATACTGGTTTGATCAACTTAATTTGTATTTTAAGGTCTGACAACTGTATTCCATATTCTACAGCTTGTGCTATCGCTATCTTTCGAATAAATTTTCCCTAAATATTATAACTACCAATTAGAAAAGGTATAAAAAAAAAAAAAAGACCGTTAACAATCATTTAAAAATGTCAATATTGATATTGGCTCACACTAAATATGGTTTACACTAAATAGATCATGACTATGCCAACAAAATTTTTGAATAATTTATCTTCTGACTTATTAGTACTCTTGAAAAGTGGAAAAGGTCGAGATGTAGTAATTCATGTTGGAAAGGATACAGAAAATGAAACATTCGAATTACATTCCGGAATTTTGTACGTTCGATGTCCATATTTTTCTAATGAATTAGATGAACTGGATTACAACGAAAATCATATTAAAGAAATCTGCAAACCTAATCTTTCAACCGAAGTTTTCCGGATCATAATTGCGTAGGTTATACGTTATGAATTCTTGAATTTAAATACTGTTTAGCAAAGAGAGCATTTCGTTAAAATTATTCATCATAATGTAGGTATATTTATGGTGGAATAGTTTCTTTCGAAGATATGGATTCCGCTATAATCTTTGAATCATTAATGACTGCTAATGAATTTCAACTTGAAGAACTAACTAAATATACTGAAAATTATCTAATTCAAAATCACGAATTTTGGATTCAGACAAATTTTTCAAAAATTTATAAAGCAACAATTGAGAACAATAATCTTGAGACACTGCAAAAATATTGTATAGATATAGTTGCGAAAGAACCAAATTTACTGTTTGACTCAGACGAATTTGTAACACTTCCTGAGAGTGCATTTGTTTCTATTTTAGAACGGGAAGATTTACAAATGGAAGAATCAAAAATTTGGGATCAAGTTATTAAATGGGGAATTGCACAAAATCCATCACTCCCTTCTAATCAAAATCAATGGTCTGATCTTGATTTTTTAATTTTAAAAACTACGCTCAAAAATTGTTTGCCCCTTATCAGATATTTTGATTTTGATGGTGAAGAGGTATTAGCGAAACTACGCCCATATCAGAAAATTCTTGATCCAAATTTGTGGACAGATATTTTGAAAAAATTCATGACTCCAGACAAAATTAATACTTCGGCGATTTTGCCATCCCGACGACGCGAATTAGTGAAAATCGAGCGACATAATCAGCACAATATTAGCACAGAATTACAATATAAAATTGTTTCAACTAAATCATTCACTATGAAAGTTACATCACCACCAATACAAAAAACTATTACTTCACCAATACTAAATGCTCAACGGTTTGAATTGGAGTCAAATATTATTTCTACAAGTCATGCTATTGAAATTACTTCATGGATTAATCCTACAGGACATAGATACACAAATCCACTTCGATATAAATTCAAGTTACTTACTAGAGGTAGTAGAGATGGATTTAATGGAGAATCATTTCATAAAACATGTAAAGGGTATGATAATACCTTGCTGATTTTAAAAGTTAGTGGAACAGGTGAAATTCTTGGTGGGTACAACCCTTTAATGATTCCAATTGAAAAAGAGAGACGCTGGCTTTCTACGTATGACAGCTTTATTTTTTCATTAAAGAACGGTGGTAATTCTATTTTAAGTCGAATAGCAATGTCAGATCGGGCAATTTGGCATAATAGTATAGATTTTTATGGACCACATTTTGGTGCTGAAGATCTTGCTATGTTAGGTAATTTTCAAAACGAAGAAAGATGTTTCTGTCGCTTTAAACATTATGCTAAACCGATCAGAAATACAATTGCTAAATTTTCAGTTGATGAATACGAGGTATTTCAACTTCAAGATATAGAACTCTCGACACATGACTTTGATTCAATTGATTATTGAAAAGCTTGTACTTGATTATTGTTTTATTTGTAATAGTTAATTTAAAAACGTAACAAATAAATTGAGCTTGTTTATAATACACCTGAAAAGAACGAAATTTTCATTTAAAATTTGGCTTGCTTTCAAAATGCCAGTACTTGCGATATAAAAAAAAAGAACATCGTTTGCTTTTATAATAACTTGGAATTTATTATTTATATCAAAAAAACACGCTACACAATATCGATATAATACACTACGTAGGTATTTAAATTATAGGTATTTCGCCAGTGTAAAAACCTAAAGCAAATAATAAAACCATAATAATCATAATAAATATTTTACTCTAAATCATCATCATTTTCCTCTGACAATTTCAGAGCATTTTCGATATCATTCCAAGCATCTTTAAAATTCCCTTTATCTCTATAGACAGCACCACGTTCACATAATGCAAAAATGTTCTTAGGATGTTTCTTTAATGAACCATCTAAATCCTTCAAAGCATTAACATAATCTTTATTATTTCGATGTATTGATCCTCTATAACATAATGCGAGCGCATTGTATTTTTTTTTATCATCATTTATTATCGGTTCATCACTATCAATTTCCATAGCATTAAGATCTAAACTTAATGCATTGTTTAAATTCTCTAGAGATTCTGCAAATTCTTTTCGCAATCTATGAATATCCCCTTTAACCACAAACAAATGAAGCATATTCGTATCTCCGGGAGCATTTTCTAACCCTTTTGCTAAAACCTCAATAGCTTTTTCATAATTCTTTTGCTCTTTGTAAATTTCTGCCTGATAACAAATGGCATCCAGATTATTCGGATCCAGTTCTAGTATTTTACTGAAAGTTGATTCTGCTTCTTCGTATCTACATAATTTTATGAGCATCTTTCCACGACCCTGCAATGCAATGACGTTATTTGGATCAATTTGTAATAATTCATCCCAATCTGTTAAAGAATCTTGATATTTTTGCAATTTCTCTAATAAGGAAGCTCTTTGTAAAAGTAGTGATGCATTTTGTGGCGACAAACTTAAAGCTTTATCCAAATCAGTTTTGGCAGTCTTTGTTTGATTAAGTTTTTCGTGAATTAATGAACGTAATTCAAACGATCTCTCATTTTCATTGAATTCTAAAGATTTGTTTATGTCAGCAAGAGCATGTTTATATTTTCCCATATGAAAATAAGCATCACTACGATCACAATAAACACTTGACTTTTTGGGATTTATGTTTAATGCTTCATTAAAATCATCAACAGCTTCCTTGTATTTTCCTAACATTAGAAAAGACTTTCCTCGATATTTAAATGAAGAAGAACGTCTTTCTTTATCAATGGCCAGATTTAAATCCTGGATTGCCTTTTCATATTCGTTTATCAAAGTATAAGTTTTTCCTCTACTTTTTAAGAGTTTTGGATTTCTTGGTTCAATTTCGATTGCAGCGTTTAAATCGCTTAATGCAGCAGAATACGTATCCTGCATTTGGAAAATCTTAGCACGTGTTAAACGCGCTTGGATATGATTTGGATTTATCGACAAGGCCTTTTCTATATCTATCATCGCTTCGTATCGCTTATTCAAAGCCATATAGTTTCTGCCTCGATCGGATAGTGCGTTTACATCATTTGGATTTGCTGACAAAGTCTTTGTCAAACCTTTTATAGCATCGTCATACCTATTAATAATCAAATGAATAAATTGTTAATAAAAATTTTATTAATATGATTTAGTAATTTAGTAATTTAGTAATGTAATTTTTTTTTTCTCACCTATTTAGTTGTGTATAAACCTGATTACGCATGATTAAGGATTCTTTATCAGAATCATCAAGTATTAAAGCTTTATTCAAATCAGCTAGTGCTTCTTTATACTGTTTTAAAGCTTGATAAACCTTTGCACGATGCCTATACGTTGTTCCTTTCTCATTCTTTTCCAATGACATTGTAAAATCAGTAATAGCATCATTATGACGTGATAAACCAGCATATATCAAACCACGATTTTTTAGCACGGAAGCATTAAGTTCACCACCATAATATAAAAATTTTTCGATAACTCTTAATGCATCGCTGTATTGTTTTTGAACAAGATAAGTTTTTGAACAATTTATTAAAATATTTGGATCATTTGGGTTTATTTTTAATGCTTGATTATAATCAGTTAAAGCTTTGTTAGATAGGCCTAACTTTCTATAAATATTTCCTCTTAATTCTAAGATATTAATACTAACTGGTTGAATGTCTAAAAATGAATTAAAATCTTGTAACGCTTCTTGATATTGTTTATTTTCATAATACATTTTTCCCCGAGTTTCCAAAGCCCAAGTATCATATGTAGAAGTCTGTAAGATTAAATTAAGTTCTTGAAACGCTTTATCACGGTTCCCAAGTTCATAATTATGTTTTGCACAAATTTTTAAAGCTTCATAAGCAAAAGGGCTATCAGGTTTAATTCCGAGAGCTCTATTTAAATCATTTAGCGCATCTACTCGAAGGTTTAATTTATCATGAACAATTCCTCTAAGATAATATCCACGTTCATCGTCTGATTTTCTATTGACATAAATATCAAGATCTTCTTTTGCCTTTTCATACTCATTTAAACATAAATATGCTTCTCCACGATCACATCTCATAGAGATACTATCAGGATTGCCATCAATAAGTCCATTATAATATTCGACTGCCTCTGCATATTGCCCCGCTTTGAGTGCTTTAGCAGCCTTTTTTTTAGCAGGATTAAAAAAGGGTTTGGCTTTTTTCGATAAATAGTTCATGTATCTGCGTCTAAAATAGAATGATCAATAATCATTTGTGTGATATTTCATATGTTAGTAATCTTTTATAGATTAAGAAGGCATGTACTAATAAATTTCACCTAAAGCTTTACCTTCTGATTATATGTATACGTTTATGAATTAATATTTAATCGGAAAGAAAAAATAACAAAAAATTTTTATACAATAATTTATATATTTATCATTTTTATCGCAATAAAGACTCCGACTTAATTCATTTGTAACATCACACCAAGTTGATTCTTGTTTATCATAGTCTTTTTTAATTATTGTAATAGGGTACTACATATGCTCTTTTATGCAATACATAAATATTTTTCGACGTCTACGTAACACTCAAAAATTCATCATAGCATTTATATTTTATTTGTAAGTTAATTCGAAAAATATTTTGGCTTTAATGCTAAAGTGTATAAAATTTATTTTCTACACCTCAATATTTTCATTAATATGAGTTTTTGGCGTGTTGATATTAAATCTGAAGACATATATACTAATACCGTTTAAGTATATACATACGTATGTACGTACGTACGTAAGAATTATTTTGTGGAAGGTGCATTCTTTAAATGCCCATAAAAGTACAACTGTTTTGATATGGAGTTTTGATTGGGTGAAATTCCGATATGCAAAATCAAAAAAAACAAAAAAATTACGTACTGTAAACTATGCAACGTATTAGTAAAATTATCATTAATGCAACATTACGGCGCGCTTACAGTGTAAATTGTGTGAAAATCTAACGCTAAGTATTAATTGTGATTTGCAATAACTGATAAGTAACGTAAATCAAAAATATCGAGTTATGCCACCAACATGCCTTAATGGACTTCTAATTAGAGTTTCTCTAGACACTGCCTATTCTAAATAGCTATTGTTATTTGCGGAGCTAACAATAAATGCTACGTACGTACGTAAGCACAAAATCTCCTTTTCATAAGGTGTATGTGTCAGTTAAATTGCCACCCAAAAAAATTAGATCATGTTGAATAAATGATTATCCACTAAATTTTTTTTTCAACGTTAGTGTGTGTGTACGTACGTACGTACACTGCTTATTTGACTCCTTTAACGTTAAGAATCTAGGCACTTTTGCAGTCACGTGCTGTGGCTTATTCGCCAAGTTTTTGTTTTTTTTTAAGTAGGATGTGATCCTGCTTATTTGAACTCTGTTCAGCCCTGTTCGAAACCTAAACTAGTTGAACACGAGTTTTTTAATCACGTGAATTTCTGAATTTTAATGAAACTCTGTGCTCGAATCGAGATCGAAATCGATCTTACAGGCAGAAACATGATCTGTAACTTTTAATTTTTAATTAAATAATATGAAAATAAATTATCGTTATGCAGATTGAATTTATATATGTATTCTAATAAATATGTAACGGGTTTAAACTAACATGTTCAGGCATTCATAATTAATATTCATGTGCATAATCAATTTTAAAAGAGTTTCGGAACCCAATTTTTGTATTGTCACAGGCAAAACCAGAACCATCCAAGACCAAGAAACCTGCGAAACAATGTCCGAACGTAATACGATTATTACGCCAGAAGACCTTCGTACAACGATACCCCAGATATACAAGTCGAACGACGATTCCCTGCAGTTGTGTGCGCAAAGTCCAATTAACGATTACGCCGAAGATCTCATTGAGAAAAAGCCACCTTCCCGATTTGACATCTGTCAAGGTAATATTACCTTGTTGGGTTAAGAGTGTGGCCGTGGTAAATGGAAAATGACTGTGCTAATGGGTCAAGAGCAATGGTGCAATAATAATTGTGTGATGCTTTCTTTTTGATTTGTCTTCTTTTTTTTGTATAATGATCTAAAATGATGAAGGCTATATGTAAAGGGAAGAGTGTTAGTTCGAATAAGGTGAGATGGCTTAGGTTCAATGGTAAAAAAAACAAGTTTTGATTTTGTTTTTTTTTTACTTTTTGGTATTTTTTTATAAATAATAGTGGATTTTTCTTTTATAATAGCAGATAGTAAATTTATACTTTAAAAAAATAATTCTTTAATAAAAGTTTTTTAAATTCATTAAATCATAACGTTTTTTTAAAATAAGTATTATCAAATTACCTTTATAATACAGTATTATTCAAAAGTCATTTTAGACCTTGCCAAATCATATTTGCCTTATTTTTACTTTCAAGTAATATCTACAAATTTTAAGTAACAATTTGTCACATTTTCTTTTTGCTGGTATATATTTTTAGTTATTTTATTACTGATATTTTTGGTGATAATTATAAAATCATATATTTTGCTAGAGATTTTAAGCATCAATACTATAAAGTCTTATATTTGCTAAAAATTCTAAATATCAAAACTATATAATTGCATATTTCGTTAAAGATTCTAAGTGTTAAAATTGTTATATAGAATATTATAATTCTGAAGCTTTAAAACTATAAAAAATCAAGTATTCAAGCAGCTAGACTGTAAGATTAAAATAATCTAAGTTTGTTAGCTAGCATTTGCAAAAAAAAAACAAAAAACAGATCTAAAAACCTATTAATTTAATATTATATTTATTTTTTAATAGATAGGATTTAGGTGTACTACGGGTAGCTTTTTGTACTCATTTGTGACACTACTTAAAGCTAATTATTTACAAATTTAACAAATTAATAAGCAATTAAATACTTATATAAAGTATTTTATAGATAGAGGCAACACATATAAAAAATTTGGTAGTTCTAAGTGCTTTTTTAAATTTTATAGAATTTTTTAAAAATTGGCTTTTTTTCGTTTTTTTATTGGCAAATTTTACTAGTAAATTTTATATTAAAAATTAAGTTTAATTTTTTAAAATTTTAAACTTCTATTATTTTTAATATATTAACTTAATCTTAATAAATTTTATTAATTTGAATTAAAGACTTGTTTTAATAGCTTACTTAAAAATTTAAGTAAAATTTATTTAATAAAAATTTTTTTTAAGTTATAGTTAAAAACTAAAGACCTTATATGAAATACTAATAGCTTATAAACCTTTATAGTAAAAATAATATTTTTATAATATACTAATAATAAGCTTTTAAATATAATAAGTTCTAAATATTTTTTATATAATTAAATTTTAAATTTACAAACTTTATTAAAAAATTTTTTAATAAAATTAATATTAGTAATATACTACACATAGTACACTAAACTTATAAAAAATAACAGTTAAAAAAAATTTTTTTCTCAAAAATTTTATTATTAATTTTAAAAAAAATTCTGCTAAACTATACTTTGACAATTATTAGATTTTTATATATAAAAATTATTTAGATAAGTAATTTTTTAGATTTTTAACTTATTCTTTTAAATGTACTACCGGTAGTACAAAAGTCTAAATCCTATCCATTAATTTAATCAAATTGTATTTAAATTTTTTATTAAAAATTAAAGAATCAAATCTGCAAATAAAGCTAAAAATAAAATAAAGAATAATAAAAAATTGAAGAGAATGATTTTTTTTACATCTTCAAAATATACTATATAGTTCTTAATACAATATTATTAATATTGTATTAAGAATTATATATAGTCTAATTTCTCTATCACTATACTATTAAAATTATAGTATAAAATTTATAATTTAAAAATCAAATTTTCACAAAACTTTTTTTTATTAATTTGATTTTTTTTCTCGGCACAAGCCTATATTATAAATTACCATAAATGAGGGATGGCTAAAGCCAGATACAGTACATCATGATATTATCTGATTTTTTCTGATTTTTTAATTAAAATTGATTAATATTAGGGTTGGGAGTAAATTAAGTAGTTTTTATAGTAAAATTGCATTTCTGACACTTTTACTTAGTGAACCAAGACCGGTTTAGATAACCAATTTTTGTATTTTTTGTGTTTTAGTCTTTGGCGTCTCGTTTTGTTTTGTTCAGGCTGATCCGGGTTATATATTGGGTAATCTCGTGATGTACCTGGCTTTAGCCAACCTCCCGTAAATGGTCAGATAAAAGATCCACAATATCAGGTCCACTATGTACTATACCCGGATATGAATTACGAAAATTTGCATTACTGCTATTTTCATAATTTCTGGAACACCTAATAAAAAATTGACCGAATGGTACTCCAGCCAATTCGATTAGTTTGAAATTTCAGAATAATAGATTCAATAAAAATACAAAATTGTACATATGCATGTATATACGTACGTAACTTTTACAAGTTACACAGCTTATCCACATAAAATTTTCCCCACATATGACGATCATCCTATGATTTCCGAGTTTGTGTAACTTCCCTCACCGATTGATTATCCCTTATACCTTGCAGCCAATCAGAGTTAGTATATTAGTCAGCTAAAATCATTTAAGTATTTTTTGATTTTTTTAAGATTTTGAGCGAAAATTTTTTAGCGAAGAGTTTGTAGATTTTGAAAGTACCTTATAGTATTGAATTTAAGTACTTTGAGTTTTTTTTTTTTACTAAATTTTAAAAATAATTGGCACATATTAATACACGTTCTAGCTAAAATCGTATAAGTATTTTGTTGATTTTTTTTAAGAATTAAAGCGAAAATTTTTAGCAAAGATAGATTTTGAAAGTACCTTATAGTATTGAATTTAAGTACTTTTTGAGATTTTTTTTCGCTAAAATTTTAGAAATAATCGGCACATATTAACACACGTTCTATATAATCTTTCCTGAGATTAACTCGAGTCATTATGCACAAAAATTAGTATTCAAGACAACCTAGTATGTATGTTTGTTACACTTTTTTAAAGCATATAATTTAAATTTACTAACTAATTGATGTTATTATTAGAAGAAAGTGGCAAAACAGTATATAAACAGAGGTATTAGAGCCTCGATCCTATTTTTGAAAGACAATCTGGATTAGATGATATATAAAGACAGCATTGTAGCATAACCTTAGATCTGTCATTCAAGTTCTTTGACTAATCTGAGTAAAAATTTCTGATCTGGATATCTGAATTTATCTAGATTTAAAGATAAATTTAGATTGTCGGATTAGGGATCAAAGCTCTAAGAGGTATTAAGCAATGACACCCAAGTCGCAAGGTATACCGTAAAGCATAGTCAGATATGAAATTTATTTTCAATTTTTTTTAATTTCAACAATAATTTCGACAATTTTGATATTTCTCTAAATTAAATCTAAAACAATTATTGTATTTGATTTAGTTTAGGTTTAATTAATTTTTGACAATTTCACCAATTTCACTATCAAATAATTCAACAATTTCAACAAACATTTTTATTAGGAAGAGTAATTACACCCACATCTATACCGTAAAGTGCCAACTGATGTATCTGAATATTTATAATGTCTTGAGATATACCTGCTATATGTTTCTTGTTCAACTTTGCTAATATTCAATATTTTGCATCAACTAGATATTTCTCAAAGTTTAAGATACTATTCTTCGAAATATAATATGGATAGTATCGAATTTATATCTACAAAATACTTCCAGCTACAACTCATAGAAGGATCTACTGAATGGCACTTTACAGTAATAAGTTTAAATTAGTATGTTTAAAAAAATGAATGGCGAATGTTTAGGTAAGGATTTTACTATACAAAGCAAAAATTTATTTTTAGTTCTTTTCACTATTTTATTCTTATATCTGATTATTAACTCTAATATAATTATGCAAACAGATGCACTCGAGGATGAATCGGTAAAAAAGCCGGTAGTCCTATAGGTAGTCTGCAATGATCCTAGAATTTGGACTGACTAATGTATCGCATGTTTCGGGTGAGATTAGATGGATTGGCATAGGAAACTCAGATCAGAGGGTTTAATTGGATAATCCAAATAATAGTGGGTTATAGGTACAGCATCTAGTGTAGTACTTAGTATAACTACTTAATTAGGCATTCAAAAGGCGTAGATATGGCTAGAATATATCCTCGTCAGAATGTACTTGTCTGGGGCCCCCTTGAAAGGGCACCACATGATTCTATAATCTAATAAAAAGCGACGAGCCAAAGAGGCTAACCTTGACTACAAAAAAAAAAATAATAATAATAATTATGCAAACAGCGACATGTTATTAAGCTACAAACTCTTCACATATGAATATTGAGCACAAAGCGCACTTTTAACGTAATACAAGTTAGATATGTGTGGAGCTATTTTCTGACATGGAATTGGATGACTATGAATTATGTAATTTTATAAAACATTGTCTGCTTATCATAGTCTTTCCATGTTCTTGGTAATGTTTTTCTATTTTTCAATGTTTTATACTTTGTTAACATTTTTTCTATTCCACCCATCGCGTCTTCTGCCGCTAGTAAAAATCGTAAGTCTTTATACCACTCCTGGCTCCTTAATAGATCAATCCATTTTTGAAGCTTTTCTGAGATATGGCTATTAACCTCTTCCTATGGTTCATCAAATTCGTCAAAAATAATATTATCAATATTATTATCATCATTTTCTTCGTATTCCTGAAGCGCTTCTGCAAGTTCTTCATCTGTTTCATCATTTGATTGTTCATATCCTTCTACTAATGTATCTATATCAGCTCTATCTTCATTTAGTTCACCTGCATTATCAGATTCATCTTCCACCACCAGTTCTAAACCTTGTAATAATGGAATTAGATCCTTATGTCTCCAAAAAAGTGAAGTTCTATAGCGTTTGACTTCAGTAAAAAAGGTTGGTTTTAATAGGCAGACAGATTGCACCAGATGCTTGCAAAGAAGAAAATGATTATCAAGATAAGCTAGACAAGAGCAAGTTCACATTTTCGGATCAGTAACATAAAAATCACTACTCAATGCTTTTTTTAAACATGCCTTCCAGAAACGCTTAAATGCTGGGTGCCATGATGCTATAGTTCTTGTTTTGTAATTTGATTCTAGCTGTTGCATTTTTATAATATATCATGGGATAAGACGTTCAACAAGAATCTATACTAGCAGATCGACACGTGGTTTGTTAAATTTATAGATATAATTATGTTTAATAAGTCTTCAGTGTGATTCTATAATCATCATCGTTTTCAATACTGAAATATCTTTTTTTGCACTCTGTGCCCAGTTAGACCATTTTAATAGATTATACCACTCAACCCACAAATATGACCATACCCATTTAAGATTATTATTTTTACAATACATGTATATTTCTTTAACGGCAGTGTCACGAATTTGGTTGGAGGAATAATACCGCATATCAGTTGCAGAGATATAAGGGTATTGATAGAAATGTTTAGTAATGAGATTAAGGATATAATTGTGGTATTCTAAGGGACAAAAGACAAATGGTGTCTTATTACTTTGTGATTGGGTTTTTGACTAAATTAACTCATTTATTTTATTTGTATTATTTCCAGAGTCAGTAACTTCAGGACAAAAATCTAGATTGATAAATGGAAATTCGGCATTTGCTTCATGTGAAGAGTACCGTGTCATTTTTGGCATTTTCTTCAATCCTAATTGTTTTTTTTTTGCCTTTTTTAGATGCCAAAAACAAAGCTGGATATAAGCATCTGGCCATATCATTTTGGCCGCTGAGATTTGTGCAGAATCTTTGTCAGTCATCACAAACGCTGGATTAATGCCTACATGATGCAACTTATCAAAAAGCTTAACGATCATATTCTTTCGGGCTCCATCATTAATTGCAGTTGCTATAGTTAGCAGCATATATGCTAATGGAAATCCCATCCCATCTACTTCAGCAAGTACTGAATATAATTCGAGATTCATCTTGTTGGTATTATCTAAATTATAAGAAATTTTTTAAATTAGCCATATGACTCATATTTTACTAGACTGAAATAAATCTTAAACTTAGTAAAATAAGTTTAAACACAATCCGAAATATGATTCCCTCAAAAATAATGAAAATCAGCATAGTTTCTAAAATTTCTAAACACCTAATTGTTTAAGTATAATATTTTTTGATGAGGTAATAATCAACAAGCATAAGATTCGAGCAGAGGTATAATGGTTTTGCAAACATAAATTGAAATTATTTAATAACAATAAGTAAAATTAATGCTTTATAGTTGTTATTAGGTTTAGAAGTCTTAGAAATCTTGGCTAATAAAGTGAAGCATTTTGGATTTTGAAAAAGGATTTGGCTAAAAACAGATATGAATACATACACGTCGCATCTATGCCAATCTCAACGGCATTTACTCCTAGTCGATTAATTATTTCTATAATTCCAAAGCTAATCATAGTAACCTCATCATCTGTAATTGTTAATATTATTTCAATACCAGTATATGATTCGATAATTTTAATAGCTGACTGAATTTGATTGTCATCTTTTTTCCACAGATGCTGACTTAGATTTAGCCACCAATAATAGATCTGTTTTTCAGTAATATTTGGATAATTTGTGCCGATGTTCTCCCAAATAACTCGAGGCGTTTGTTGAAGGTGATCTTGAACATAGTCTTTTATTTCATTCATAACACATACATCGGTGTATTCTGTGTGATATTCATGGGTTAACTCAATAATAACTTGCTTTTGTTCTATATCTATAGTAAGTATTAACCATCCTCGGCAATGAAACCTTTGCATTGGTAGACGATCCCTATGCTTTGTAGAATCTTCATGCTTTTTTGGCTTCTTTTGTCGATCAATCAACTGGGCGCAATGGTATCTAAATTTTGTGACATGATCTGATTTCACCAGAAGTTTATCATTATAGCTTAAAAATTTTTAAAGGTTAGTATTTTTGATTATGAATTCAAATATATTTACTTATATTAATTTTTACTTGAATTTAAAGCTTATATTAGTAAGAATATTGTCTGAAATGAACGAGACTATCTCCTTTGGATCAATTGGAATTGCGTACTCATTAATATCGATAATTTGCTTAAAGTTTTCAATAGTTTGACCTTTTAATGTTTTTAAAATAGTAAAAAAATCTTCCATTGAAATGTGACTAGCACTTGCATTAGCCTGAGTATCCACAGCTACACGTTTCTTTGCATTTTGTTTATTTTTTTTCTCTCTACACTTTAAACATGTTTTACTAATCTTTTTATTTTTTAAAAAGGATTCAAGTGGACGAAATTGATTACAGCCATTACAAAATGGTTGTTCGACGTTGGATTGGACTTCTATATTGAATATAAAGTAAGGAATTGAATTTAATAATATCAATTAAGTTAAGGATCGAATCAAAATATTTAGTAGTTTGTTTATTTTGTACTTTTGGTCTTTGTTTTTATTTTATTAGAATATAAAATTCTGAAGCTTTATTAAAATCAAAACCAATTGCTTATATACATTTTTGCCATTAGATTTGATGATTAATACGACGTATGTATGAAACTGAAATTTTGACAGTATCTAACTAATTAAAGCAGAAAATGCAAGCTAAGGCTTTTCATTTATTCATATACGATAATTGGAACGTATTTATTAAGCGAAGTTTGACTAAATAAAGCGAAAAATGCAAGCTAAGGTAATTACTATATTAGGAGATTTTTAGTTATTTTCCTTTTCATTGCTTTTATAATGCTTATTTTCTTTTACTTTAATTAGTATAGTCATTTCATTTCATACGTATTTAACCGCATTTTATACAAACTCTTATTTAGTAATTATCATTTCATAGCCTGTTATGTAGTCAATAACCGAATTATTAGAATGAACCAAAATAGCATGGCTGTAGTTTTTCTATTCATACGTCTTTTTGTAGATTAGCACTATGTAGTCAATAACCGAATTATTAGAATGAACCAAAATAGCATGGCTGTAGTTTTTCTATTCATACGTCTTACTTTTTGTGGATTAGCACTATACCATTTTAGTCTTATATATATGCATTACTTCTTTAGTCTAAGCACGATTTAAACAATTAGATAGGGTGGCTGTGGTATCGGTAATATGTAATAAATAAGATATAGCACGATAGAAAATAATTAAGGAAAATAATTTTGACAATAAAGAATGATGTTTGGCGATTAATATTGTAATATTGGGCGTTTCGGTTTTTAAGAAACAAAATAAGTTATTCTCTGACTTTGTTGCATTTTTAGATGTTATGATAATCTAATTACGGTATATTAGAAATTAGAACCATCAATTCGTGACTATACTTGCTGGCAAACCCGGACAAATCCCAAACCCCAAAAAACAAATTGCTTTTATAAAAAATTAAATCAACAAAATAATTTTAATATTTTGAGAATATATTATATATAGCTATAAGAATATATATTATTTGTTTAAATAAAGATTATGAATGAAGTTTTTGAGATATTAGTTTGGGCTTGAGTTTGGGTTTTGGGCCAGGCGGCAAGTATATGCGTGACATGATACAATTGCTACTAAATACTGATTAATTTATATCTTATGTTTAGAAGCAATAACGTGCAGCGAAAGTATCAGAAGGTAAATATTTATTAATAATCTTTATATACTTACAAGATAACACGTGAATGCCAACTACTTTGTTCTAATTATTATAACCTTTTTATTTTGACACAGATATCATTCAAACCCTACTTTAAACAGTATCTATTAAATCTTCGTAAGTGCACACTATATAAACGCACATTCTATACAACTTCTCTAAATGCACAGTATATTTTGGTCCCGATTTATAAATTTCTATACGACTTGCTGTGCTTTTTCTAAGTACAAATTATATAGATATATAGTTAAAAGTTTTATTATAATTCTATGAAATCGTATTAATAAATACAGTCTTTAAACAATAATAATAAACTAGTTACAACAAGAAATAAATATGTATATAGATACATATGTTTTGGGTTTAATTTTTACATTTTGAATTAATTAGGAACCACAGAGTACTTAGATTATTTTTTTGAAATTTACATATTTATTTATTATTATACGTAATATAATTTAATATACTAACTCTGATTGGCTGCAAGGTATAAGGGATAATCAATCGGAGTGCATCTATTTGCGCAACAGCACGTGATGATCGGCCAATCAATTAGAGGGAATTTTGATCATCCCGGATCAGCCCGACGAAGCAAAACAAAGCGAAAAAGTGAAAATTTCAAAAAATATAGGAAACGGTAGTCTAAACCTATTGTAAAGCATTAATTAAAAGTGTCGGGAAGGCAAATTTACATATATAAACTACTTTATCCTAAACTAACCTAATCTTAATACGGGCACCCTAACCCTAATTCTTAAAAAATCGGTATTTACGTGCTGATGGGTATTGTTGCGCAAATAGATGCATTCAATCAATCGGTGAGGGAAGTTACACAAACTCGGAAATCATAGGATGATCGTCACGTGCGGGGAAAATTTTATGTGGGTGAGCTGTGTAACTTAACTTTTACATTAGCAATTAAATAGTGCGAAAGTTTTACCAACACTACTAGACTTTTTATATGTTAGCTCTACAAAATTTTTGGCCAACGTTATTTACATACAAATATTATATGCCAGAAACTTATATGTATACCCGTATAATAACCCAAATTTCTACCCGTATATATGTAACGTAATTTAGATCCGTACCTATCATGCCGAAATCAATGACTTAATCGGAACGGCCGAAAAATCATTCGGTCAATTTTTATCAGATGTTCCAGGAATTATGAAAATAGCAGTAATAAAAAAATGATTTTTTTCAAATATTTAAACTGCCCGTTAGAAATAAAAAATACGCGTGCTCTTTAAAATTCTCCTTTTAATGATATAAACTCTCAAACATGTACTTTGGTACATTTCATTGTAAAAAAGGTTAAAATACGAATAATTACAGTAATTCTAATCTTAACTATACGTATCAACCAATTATAACTTTAACAGTTAAGATATTATTATACGTAATATACGTAACTATATTAATTTTAAAACCAAAGTGCTAACCCGACGTGACTTGTAGAGCTGCCATAAAAGGGCTCCTTTAAAAAAATTCAATTATCACGTGTTTCTGATTAGAAGCAACCAAACGACTCATTAACTATATTCAAAGTTCAATTCGTAAAATGATTTTAAACAAGCCAAACTTGGTGCCTATGTGATGTTATACTAGATAGTGACAATCATAATACATAATTGTTTTTTTTTTACGCGTAATAACACCCATCTGTGCATTATTTTGAGTATATACGCGTTATTTTAAGACAATTTCTTCTAAACCTGATCTTCAAGTAATGTCCATGCTAATCAATAGATCCTTCATAACCTCTTCTTACCCAAACTGATTTAGTAAGTATATTTGTTAATTGGAATATTTGAAATACTTTGATACTTATTGTAGTACCATATTATTACACTGCCTGCCATATCTAAATATTAACTGACACTGAGAGGCAAAGCAGCTTTTTATATGGGTGCGCGTTATTCTGGGACGCGCATGAACGTTATTTTGAAACCACGCATGCCATTTTCAAGAAGCGCGATTTTCTAAATAACGTTTACGTGCATAAAAAAACAAAAATTGGTTTATAGTCGCGTTGTGTTTAAAATGGTAAAATAATACGACACGCTGTTTGAAACGAAGTTAATGCCTATAAGAAATTTGATCTTTAATACTAAATTTTTAGATGTAAAACTATGATAAAATAAAAGGATACGTTCAGAATTGTGAAATATAATCTAACTAAAAATTTTTTGGTTATATTACTTTTTATTGCTAATGTAAGTCTGTATAATTTTTTTTTTTTGTTTGTCAAAAACAAAACGCGTATATTTTTAATTTTTTAAAATCAAATGAGATTGATAAAATGAATATTAAATTGCTCAAAGTATGTCTTCTTTTATATATATATATATATATCACATATATATATATAAGTACTAATAAAATGTTCGTTCTTTTGTTTACCATAGGGCACATTTTTTTACTGGATTCATTTTTGAACCTGGTTTGCATTTAAAAACCTCAGAAAACTTCGGCGAATTACGTAAAACACCATTGACTCTCCAAGCTGGAGGAGAATGTGGATCAGTACGAACCTAAATAATTTATTCAGATGGATAAAATTACATTAAATAAGTTTAACGAAAGACAGAAAAATAACAAAGAATAATTTATTTTGCTTGCCCTTTCAACAGCCGTTTCAGGTCTTATCTTTGAACACCAAGAATGTCCATACGCAATAAAAAATAGTTGTTCGCGAGTCAAATTATCAAACCCAGGCAACAAATAATTATTATATTCCCCGTCTGAATCATGTTTGTATCGGGTATACCATGCATCATAGGCTTCCCTTACCCTTGATATTTCAAAATCAATTGGTTATTAGAATATTAATGTATAAAATATTAAATGGCTATAATATATAGTTACCCTCCATTATCTGCCAAGTTTTCTCCTAAGGTCAGACGACCGTTCAAGTGTACTGGTTCACCTTTTGTATCATTTATAGTATAACTTGAGTATTGATCAATAAAACATTCCGCTTTTTCTTTGAAATTTTCAATGGTAGTGTTGGACCACCACTATAACACGATCAAAACAAAATAATTAAAATAATTAATTCGATAGAATAGTTATGATTAACAAATAAGATACACGTACTTGAGTTAACCGGCCAGTCGCATCATATTGTCTCCCATTATTATCAAATCCATGCTATCAAATAAAAAAAAAATAAAGAAATATTAATATTAACGTTTCATAATACGATTATATAATCGAATTGACACAAACCGTAAGTTCATGCCCAATCGCCGCACCGATAGCGCCATAATTTATATATTCTGGCGCTTTGGAACTGAAGAATGGAAATTGAAGTATTCCTTGATATTATAAAATAATGAATAACATTAATTTATAATAATAAACACTGGAGAAAAAGGAAAAGATATATATTACAAATACCAGCTGGGAATACTATTTCATTTCCAGTAGGATTCTAATAAAAGTATAAAACGTTAAGATATTAATACTATTCATAGCACAGAAGCAATGATCAGTCACTTATAAACTACAAACGTACATAGTATGCATTAACAGTCTGAGGACTCATGTACCAAATGTCACGATCTACCGGTTTATCCACTTCTTTCCATTGTATGTCAGATGCCCATAAATGAGAACTCAACAAATTACCAAAATAATCATCTTGATCAAATTTTACATTTCTATAATAATCTTGAAGGGATAATGGATCTGATGTGTTAGGAGATTTTGTAGGATAACCGATTTTTTGAATAATGGCATCAACCTATGACAAATGTACGTATAACCCAAATAAGTTATCTATGAAAATATTAAAATTTAGTTATTCAAACTGCTATCGTTCACCTTTTCAAAAGCTAGTTTACGAGTTTTATCATCAAGCCAATCTAGATCTTGTAAACGATTAACGAATGCTTCTTTAATAGAGGTGATCATGTTATTTGCTATATCTATACTGTTACCTAAAAAATTAATGGATAAAATTAAAATAATAATAATAAATTTAAAAGCAGAAGAGGAACAAAAAAACATACCACCAAAAGCCTTCAAAACATAATATCTTCCAGCTATAAAACCTAATGCTTTATCAACTGAACTAAGACAAACCTCCCATCTTTTTGGCTTTACGTTTTCATCAACACCTCTTAATTTTGCCATCAATCTTCGTAAAGGGGCTCTAAAATTTTCATCCAAACTATTAGCATGCTTTGCAATGATTTGCCAAGCAAAGTAAGCTTGCAAACTTTGTGGATGGGTCTTTTTTACAAGAAGTGAAAGATTTTCAAAATATTGATTTGATGTCAGTATTATTTTTGATGGAAGATCTGAAACGGTTGAGGGTAAAAGGGAACTAATATAATGAGACCAAAAAAAGGTTGGACTGAGCTTTTCGAGAGATTTTATAGTGTGCATATTATAAGTGGCTTCAGGATCATAAAATTCTTCGCTAGGATTTTTAATAAATTGAAGTTAGTAAAGCAGATATTTCAAGGACTAGAAGTATATGTCATTATTGTAGCTTACGGTGATAGAGAAATTTTAGCTAAGGACTTTTCAAATTCTATAATTTTATCAGCAATCTCTTCCCAACCTCTAAACCAAACTCTTTCTATGCTATATTCATAAATATCATCCATTAAATTATCGGATGTCGAATATCCCATTTCAATGATAAAATTACTTCTATTATCTAACGCTCTTCCTAGTAACTCAGCCATTACACTCTTATACGTTTCCATAACTTGTACATCTTCATAGTATTCTTTAGAGGGTAGAACAAGACCACTTTGAGTTAAATATAAGGCATTCTTACTCGGATTTTTTGCATCAGCATCGACAAAGAATTCAAGTAATGGTCGCACACCAATAGTTGATAAGTTAGACAAGGTATTTGTCAAATTAAGTAGATTGAGAGAATCAGATTGTTGAAGATTATCATTTTGGTAACCAAAATTATTAAACAAAGAGAATTTATTTTCAACAGGAAAGTTCTCGAATAATCGATCTAATAGTGGTACCAAAGGAGCACCTCCAAGTTGAGAGATACGATCCTCGTCCATACATGATTGATAGAACGACTGAAGATTATAAAAGTTTTTTTTATCAATCGATGAAGATGGAGATGGTAATACCGCCACTTGAGGTGATTTAAAATCATCTTCTAAAATGTTTCTAAGAAGTTTCTACATCAGAAAAATAACTTGATTAAATCACTATATAAATATATGGAGATTTGCCTAAAAATTTTATAAATAGTACAAATGATGTGTTAAATATTACCTGATTTTCTTCATAAAGTATGTTGATGTAACTATAAAGTCCTTTATCATCAGGAATTACGGATTTTTTAATCCATCCTCCACCTATAAGGCGCAGGTGAGGTTTATACATATAATAATAGCTAAAATAGTTGAAAGAAACTTACAGCTATATAGGTAAAAATCTTCGCATGGATCGACACTTTGGTCCATGTCATCAATTATTTTACCAGCAATTATAACACAATCTCGTGTTGTGCAAGGACCCTAAAATTAGATTTCAAACGATTATTAAGCATAACAAAAAAAAAGAGATATCTTTACGGAAAAGATATACAGTGTCTAACTATAAAATTCCGGTACCGTGACCCGAAACATTTTTTTTCTTGGATAATTAAATACATTAATTTACTCTTACATAATAGTAGAATGAAGTATTTGCGATTTTTTTTTCACACGTTTAATTTAGTAATCATCGTAACCGTTCTACGTATATGAATTTCCAAGAATTTGCAGCATCTAAATGACCAAGACTTTATTGGACCGTCTGATACATTATCTTCAGTGAATTATAAGTCCAATAAAATCTTTTTTATAACTTTACTATTTTAAATGCCACTAATTTATAAATCTTGCGCTATGCATAAGATATTTTAAAACCTTATTGTAATCGATTATAATCAAAAGTGTTTGTAATCGATTTATATATATATTGATTATAATCGATTTTAATTTAAATGATTATTTAACACCCGTATCAATAGCAATCGATTATAATCGATTAACTGTTCGTAATCAATTATAATCAGGTTTTAAATTTTCTTCATGGTATAACATTAATATCGACATTACATATATTAAACTATTCAATTCATGAATTAATTGCTTAAGCTCGATTTTTTTTATCCAATTATCCAAAAATAAATTTCGGATCACAGTCTCGATATTTATGGCCAAGCTTTATGTGCATATTAATAGATGCCTGAATACCTTTACAGTATCATTATCTTTTGGTGGTAATGGCTCTGATGGAGGTGAAGGTGATGGTTGTGGTGGTGCTGGAGTTGTTGTGTGTTTATTAGACTTTCCACTTGCATATAAACCAGCAAAAATGCTCATTAGAATTAAAAGAAGAAGACATGTGAAAGCTAGCATAGTTTCCAATCGTGTGAATTTTCCGTGTCGTAATGGAAGGAAGTTTGTGTGGTCGCGTGGAGCTTCACGAGTACGTGGAGTACGCGGCTGTGCTGGTTCTGATGAGGTACCACCGAAGTTGCTGCTGCTACCACGGAGAGTTTCTTCATCGTCAGGGTCATTAGGTGTTCGTGCATCAGTAAGTAAAGGTTCAGTCTCTTCAATGTTGGAATGACTCATTTTTCAATTATTGCATTTATTAAAATTATTTTTATTTTATTTTTTTTTCCTTTATCAATGGCAGTTATACGTAGTTGCAAACACAGAATGTGTTTGTGCCGATCATGATAAAACTTATATAGTGATTAATGACATTAACAAGGTTTCACTAATGCAAGTTATTACATAACAATTGTCACAACTTTTTTTAGGAATAACTCTTGATAACAAAAAGAAATATATATCATCATAATAAACAATAAGGTCTCATGATCAGCAAAAAAGGAAACTAATTTTAAATTACTAAGAAAAAACACATCGTTCATCTGACTTGAAAAAAAAAAAAAAAAAAAATCTTTATTAATATTGATATAATTAGATCATCATTCGCCTAATCCTTATTTTATTGTAAACTTGAATTATCAATCAATTTTGATCAGGATCATAGTATTGCTTTAACAGGTATTCGCTTATATGAGTAAAGTATCTAATCGTATTTTCTGGAGTTCTGATATGAACAGAATAGAAGGGATGAGGGCGGATATCAATGATAGTCGCATGATGTTGACTCATACAAGTCAAGAATTTATCACCCTATAGCGATAGTAAATTTTTAATTTAATTATTCAATGACGGTAACTGTAATAAAGTTCGTTAACTTCACAAATCCAACCTTTCGATGTGTATGGTCCGCATTTTTATCTCTAGCAAGTTCAGGCCGCAACTTGATGCGCTCTTTGTATTTGTCAAGTAATTCTTGAGAAACTACATTTATATATCATTGCGTTATAAATTCAGTACATAAATTAAAATTTTGAAAGCTCAAACCATTTCTAAGAATAATAATGCTTAACTGTTTCCAAATTGTTCAATATTACCCCCAGGCATCAAGACAAAAACAGAATTAGATTGAAATTTAATACAATCTTCGATACGACCACCTTTTTTCATAACATCTTCAAATGAATCATTATGATGATGTTCACGTGTGGATGTGGATGGTGGAGGTTTTTCTATTGATTCGTCAGTTTTGAATTGATCAAAGTATTCCTGGGAGATGTTGGAGTAGATTTCAATTTGATTCGAAGGTAACCTCACGTGGATACTAAGAATCAAATTTTAGTAGTTGAAAGAATCCTTAAAAATCAAATATAGAAAGATAAATGCATGTTATTTCTAATACGTGTAATTTCCTCGCTTATTCTTGTGATATTCAGTGATAACTCCGCCATTTTGCATAGCTCTCAAAAACTTGCTCTTTTTTAATTCGACAACTTCGGGTAAATCTTCTTCACTAATCTCCAAAGTCGCTTCTCCCATAGAAGATCCCTGAGTTACGTATTTCGAGTCAGTCGGAAAATTTACATTCGGAATGTCCTTCTCGTCTCCACTTGGCATCCTAATCCGAACCGTATAAGAACTCGGCCGGATGCTCAAGATTTGACCACCTTGGTCTATGCATTCTTGAAGAAAGTCTGCACCCACCATTATTATCGTTTTTAGATGAAGAATTAAAATGTTTAATTATTATTGTCATGGTCCAAACGAATTTATAATTTGTAAATGAAATTCTATATAGTAATCATTACATCATTTTTCCAATAAAAATAGGAATTATACTAGTACATCATATAAATCATTAATGTTGATGTAGCAATTATTTCATTTCTTTTGTACAAAACGGATGTTTATGTTTAGAAATGATAAATTATTTAGGATTTAATGGATTGTACAGACATATTACGTACGTATACAAAACTTAACGTTAATAAAATGTCGGAGATAAAACAAATTTCTGGCTCGACTTTTCAACAGTCTGGTGCATAAACAAATTTATTCCACGTTTCCATATGATCGAATGACGGGGGTTTACAACTTATAATCACTACTTTAATCAGTAAAAAAACGGGTTTCTAGCAATGAGAGTTATTTCCCCGGCAACGCTTGTTATTTCCCCGGACTTCCGGGGAAATAACTCGCATTGCTAGAAACCCGTTTTTTTATTTGATTATGAGTTGTAAAGCCCGTCATGACATCATATAAAAACGAAGAATAATACCCTTATTTCGCCACTACGGGGAAATAACCCGTTAGATACCCGTTCATCTGGGGCCCTTCGGGCCCCTCTTATTTCCGCCGCAACGGGAATAAATAGTACTTCATTGGTCATTATATCTGAACCTTTGATTAAAAAAAATATATTGCCGGCAAAAAAGCAGGTATATCACCCTGAAAGGTCTTGCACGCTGATGTAAATTGTTAATTAATCGGTCGCAGGACTAGGTCCCGAATCATAATAAGTCCATATTCATCTAATCATATTACACTTTTAACATTAAAACTTTCTTTTTAGAAAAAGGGAAAAAAAAACTTATTGTTTAACAATTTCAATTATAATGGTACACGAAGCTTTTTGGCAATTTTGAATGGCACTTGTTTCATGGGTTAAGTAACCAAAAATAGTTTCACCGCACAGCGCGGGCCATAACAAATAATAGATCGATTTTTTAAAATACTATTTATGCATATCACAGACGGTTTTTTTTTTTTTATCATTATTTATTTATTATAATAAAAAGTATTATTTAAATTTATTTTAATTGAGGATTGGAACCGTTTAACCGATTAAAAATTGTTTCGCAGTTCCGGAGAACTACCACGTAACGCGAATTGTAGTACCCCAATCAATGGTATCCGAGTATTATATTAGCTGAAATCGATATATACCCGAGTATAACGATAATATATTGCCAATTAGAAAATGGTTATACTATATGAATAAATACTTAATTTCTATTATAGTATCCGATTACATATACAGTTACATACCCGGAAGATATTATTTACGGTTAGCCGCGTATGCACTCGGATAATGTGTACCAGGTTTGTGGCGCAGACAAAATTTTTAAAATTCGTTGTTGCTAGGGTCAGATGTATGAATTAGAGAGAGATGTGTATAGTAAAATTGCCCAACGAAAACTTTTTGTTAGAGCACTAAAGGTGGTTTCTTATGCTGATTTTGAGTTATGAGCGATTTTTGGCAGAACGAACGTTTGTTTTGAATCTTCCTGATCGTGTTACGTTACACCTAATCTTGAAATCTGATTTGTAGCTGCGCCATAAAACTGGTACACATTATCCGAGTGCTAGCCGTATATATCCGGGGTACTACTGTATAATGAACTACCCCAGCGTAACCACTACGTAATCGATTAATAACCAAGCATTCGAAAAAGAATTTTCTTTCAAAAAAAGAAAAGAAAAAGTCCAAATTACTGCCCTATTAATATAATTGGAAGTGTTTTATTGTTTACATAATGACTTTACTTCCTGTGAATTCAATACAATTATTTATTCAATGCTTTACTATGATCAGTCTATAAAATAAATAAATTATTTTATGGTACTTTTTATATGATGAAATTATTGATCTTATTTCATAAACTGAGATAGTAAATCATTGAATAAACCGTTATTGCTTGCAATATAATGTATTTTTTATTTCGTCCATTCAATGTTCCTGGAAGACTCTTCGCATGCTTCTATTATTTATCATTTTTTGAATCAATATAATGTATTTTTTATTTCGTCCATTCAACGTTCCTGGAAGACTCTTCGCATGCTTCTATTATTTATCATTTTTTGAATCAATATGAAGTTTGAATCAATGTCTTTCAACGTTAGTCATTTTTTTATTATGAAAGATCAAGACCCTTTCAAGATTATGTATATCCAATAACTTCTATATTATACTTCGCGAAGGATTTTTTTATAATTTTCTGCAAATTCAGTTTCACTTACGTCTGTCTGACTAGAGATGCAACTCGGCTGATCGGCTCTATTGATTAATCGGTTTTTATTATACTGAATATACAAACCGATCGAGCCGTTTTGCATCACTTATAGAGAGTTTGTGCTTATATAGAGGTTAAATTTTATATGCATTATATTTAAAATTTTATGTGATCATAAGCAAATATGACTATAGAAAGGGTGATTACAGAGAGGCTTGACTGTACTGGAGGGTCGATTTATTTCATAGTCGCACTCTCACCTGGATCCAGAAATTAGATGATTATATACGAGTGTCGCTAAAAGAAAACATACATATTTATATATAGGGTATATGAGTCTTTGCCTTGAAAATCATGTTATGGGACATAATAAATCATATGTCCCATAATGTGATTTTTAAGGCAAAAACCTCATATAAATGTGTATGTTTTCTTTTAGCGATACTCATATAAATGTGACTGTATATAAGCTTTTCTATACTATCACCTATATATGCAGTATATAACGTATTTAATTGTGACATGTTATATACTTATTTGTAACAACTTACTTAGCATAGCCAATGAAATTTATATATTACTAAAAAATAAACTATATACCATATAATAATTATTGGAAATTGTTAATTTATAACACTGTTATATCTTAATAAATTTAACTATGAAATAGCGATTAGAAATGAGTGTCGCTAAAAGAAAACCCGAAAATTTAATATAAGTCATATTTAAATTTCGGGTTTTCTTTTAGCGACACTCAACTATTAAATAAAAATGTTTAAAATCTCTTAAAATTTAACTTAATTTTTAGATTTTTCTAAATACAGACTGCTAAGATCAGCTCTAAGATATGAATTTAGGAGGTTGCAATTAATAATATTATAGTATTGTTATATTTATATAATATTCTATTAATATATTTAATATTAATATATAATTAAAGATAAGTTCCAAATTATTATAGAGAAGATCAATGGTTTGAGTCTGGCTGGAAGCAAAATAAATTCTGTAATTTATTATAGTAAAAAAAATAGGTAAGAGAAGATAAAAGTGTGCTGTAGTAGAAATAATACAATTATATTATTTCCACTTAATCTAGATTATTTTTACTTAGATATGTGTCATAACAACAGAAATCTGACATCATTGTTATGTGTCATAACAACAGAAATCTGACACCATCATTATATGTCATGACAACAGAAATCTGACACTGTCATCATGTATCATAATGACAGAAATGCAATACCATTGTTAGTGTTATAATATATATTTTATGACACATAAATAGGTAGACAGCTTGTATAGTGCATGTAGTTTAGAATCAACATCACATGATCAAGATAGTTAAATTTTAAAAAATTTTTATTATAAAAATTTTGTATTATATAAAAATAAGTCAATCAAATTTTAACAAAATATGAATTTATAAAAAAACTATATTAGTGGCCAAAATATTAAAATTTGTAAAAGTATTTTAGCTAATAATTTTAATTCTACTAAAGCAAGAAAAATTTTTTTGTAATAATATTATATAAACTCAAATAATTAATTTACAGAGAAAAAATTTTTATTATAATATTAATATTAGGCAATTTCTATTTATACATGGGGTGTTTATACACAGATATATAGAAAGCCAATCAGATTGCATGATCAGGTGTAATGTAAAATTATTGCATTCTTTAAAAAATTAGTTATAACTCAAAATTTCACTTATAAAACTGCCTTTTGAGTATTAATTAAAAAAATTCCTTGCGAAATTTTGATATAAGCTACTTCTTGTCCTATTTCAAACTCACCCTTATCCTAACCTTAGGCAGTATTTAGCTTTTTGTTCTATACAAATTGTTTTGATTTACACATTACACAGATTTACAAATTAATATCTGTGTACAAACACACCGTGTATGCTATGAAATTTTTTAATATTATTAGATATAATTTTTTTTATTTTATAAACTATAAAAAGTCATATAATGTTAGTTTTAGGCTATATATACTATATACTTTTTAGAAAGTCAAATTGATATCAATAATGTTTTAATCATTTATATTAAATTTCATATATCAGCTTAATATTTTTAATCAATTTTTTTTAAAATGAAATATTTGATTTAGAATATAATGTTTTAGTTTAATTTTTTTTGTATTTTCTATTATAATCTAAATTCAATAACATTTTGGTATATAAAGACGCAAATCACTAACTCTTTCTGACGATCACTTGTACCAAGTTTTCTCTAAAAACAATTGCACTTTTCTCAATATTTTA